TTTTTTCTTTTCGGTTCTTTTATTACCTTTTACGATCTATTTATTACGCCTATTGCACACTCCCTAAAAGTAACCTAACGTCGAAATAAAAGAAAGAAAGTTTGTAAAACAATAACAAAATCTCTGTTCGAGTTCGTAAAACTACTTACTGTTAGCCACACATAGAAAGAGTCAATCTTGAATGGTTTTCGATGAAATAATTTTTTTTAATTATTTTATTATTAAAGTCTAGTTGAAATCCTTTTATTATCATCACGTCTGGTTGTTGAATTTGTAGATAGCTTTCGATTCTGGTCGTCGTCGTCCTCGAAGCGCTACAGTCGCGACTTGACAGCATATCCGGAGAGATTTCTTTTGTTTCCATTCCTACGCCAACGTCGTAATAAATGCGAATGTATTAGATAAGGACTCCCGTATTTTATAAAATATAAAATAATCGACTTTGAAAATGATTTCGAATCATTCTTTTGTATTTTTTTAAATAAAAGACGGTTGATGCACCGTCTATAATACTTTTCAGAAGCCAAGAAGCTCTTTTAAAGTTTATGGTCGATAAATCTCCGGTACACGACGTTTACGGTTACGATCGTCAATTTTTTTTTTCATTCTCGTCCCATTGACATTTACTCAAAACATACAGTTTAAATATATACAGGGAATAAATAATATTTGTGTGTTTTTTTATGGTTTCAAGGTATTATTTTAAATACTAATTAATTAACTAAAAATGTTATTCGTCGTGGGATTTATTATACCGGGAAAAGTTGACGCCATCATTTCTAATAAGATATGTCTATATTTAAATTTTTGATTTTTTTGTGAGCTAAAAGAAAACGAACGGAGAGATAATAATAATAATAAAATAAAAAAAGATAAAACTGTTGTAGAGAATAAGTTTCACAACTCGTTCTGTCGGCCTTCGATATCGCGTGGGTTGCGTTCGTATTTCAACGAAACGGATCGCAACAAATAAACAATAAATATAAACGCAGCGACCAAGGTACTAAAATATCCCCCACCACCCTTCAGGTTACCGTTCCATCGAAAACAAATGTTTACCAACCACCATCCTGACGGTTACATTTGCCACGAAACGGTTTCGCAGGTATATTTTTATTCTAAATGCAGAAAAAAAAAGAAAACAAAAAGCAACTAAAAATCACATTTCAATTTTAACATTCAAACTTCATTTTAACGGGATGAAACATCATATTGACAGGTTTCAATTAAAATCATTTTTCAGAATTTTTAAAATAGTTACATACAAGTTGTTTAAAAAAAATCTGTTAATAATATAATTTTGAAAATGTCTACTAAAAACTCTACGTAAAGATGAAGCTAAATTTAAAAAAATCTTAACCAAAAATGTGGCCAAAATCATTTACTACATTCTCATTAGTAACCTGAAGATCCTTGATGTAAGACTTAAAACAGGTGCATTATGTGGTAAGGACCACCATCTACTTAAAGCACAGGTTACACTACCAAAAACAACAATAACAACAAAACACCAAACAAAGAAACAAGAAAATGACAAAAACAAGATGCAGCCTAAATAGAGTATAACGTCAAAGCACAAAGAATTGTTTAAAACCAGACTACTCTAAGCTGCAAAGAACATCATTTGATATCAAATGCTATCAAAATGATAGAAAATACCAAAACTCATATACAGGGTGATTCTCAACTTATACGCATAAACTTGAGGATTTATTCCTCATGACAACTAATGACTAATAGATAAAAAAAATTGTAGTAAAAGTTTTTTAGTTTCCTAGATATCCGATATAATCGGCGACATCTACATCATGTGTTTCCTGGAGGATGGACCTGGCCACCATGATCTGGCCTCAGTGACTGAGCAAATATTGCAAAATCAGGTACATGCTGCTGCACAGACAATCTGCCAACATCCTGGTTTATTCTGCGCTAGTTGTAGATCGTGTATTCGGGGAACCCAATTGATAGCAAATAAGGGAAATAACTTCGAACGCTTGCTGTGATGTTATTTTAAAATGTTCTATGTATTCTTGATTTGTAAGTAAATATCACGGATATCTATGAAACAGAAAATCTTTTACTACAAATTTTTTCGACCATTAGTCATTATTCATCATGAGGAGTAAATCCCCAAGTTTATGCGTATAGCTTGAGAATCATCCTGTATATATCTTCAAAAGGCTAAACGAAAAGTTTGCATATAAGCAAGTACTCCAGACTTAACACCTACCTAAGAGGAAGAAAAAGCGCAGAAAGTTGAATCATACTTAAGAACTTGAGATGGGAAAGATTAAAAGATACCATCAATAACAGGACAAATATGGAATCTATTTTTCCAAAAAAATCTAACAGAGGATAGAAAGAAGTTTAAAACATAAATAACAGTACTACGAATATAATCATGCAAGGATCTTCATTAAGAATAACTGCGTCAGAGGTAAAAGAACAGTCACTGTGTTAAGAAATGGGAGAACTTATTAAATATGAAATAGACAAACTTAACCAGGCACTCACAAATCCTAAAAATTTATAAACGAATGCAAGTTGTCATATTTAGTTGTCAAATTATGACGTCATCAAAAATATGTGTATATTGAAAAACCAAAAAAAAACTTTTGCCGTTTTTCCAAAATAATGTTTATAACGGTTTTTTTGAATTTATTCCATAATTTTGCCGCACACTGTATATCCAGTAATTCACAAGAAGGGGATAAAAGTAACAGTAACTATTATAAAGGAATATTGGCAACCACCAAAAAATCACAACCTCAACCCTCCTTGCCATGCGTTCTACAAGTCCTTGTAAGATGATTGCTGATATTTACTTCCACTCGAATTGAAAAGTTGTTGCACCTCTTAATTCGGCGATCAAATTCGTCCCAGACGTTCTCTATAAGGTTTAGGTTTGGATTTTAGATAGGCAAGTCCATTCTGATAACTTCATCGCCACTGTTCTAATCGATGGTGAACATAACAACTGGCGTTATTGTCCAAAAAGTAACGTGAGTCTACTTTGTAAAACTGCGACAATGTAGAAAACACTAAAATTGTGCAATAAACGTTGGCGTTGTGGTTATTATGAATTAGAACCAAGGATTCCAACGCAGACCAAGAGAAACATTCCTAGATCATAACCTCGATTTGACTTCGTGATATTTGAATCTGTCTTGGGGAATATTCTGACAATTACCGCTTACCTTCCACTTCTCATTAAAATAGTCTACTCAATTCTGGATCAATTTTGGATAATTGAAATCGTTAGACATGCTCCTTAAGTATCGGCCATTTTGTGATACCCAACTATTCTACGATATGCACCACAGATTAATGCATTTAATGGGTGTCTAAATACTTTGTAGTTGACAGTGATGTACAAAAATTAAAAAAGGCAAACATTCAACCGCTAATATTCCACCAGGTGGAATTAGACGAGAAGACAGACTATTCCTGTTTAATCTGATAATGGAAAAAATTATATAGATGAAAACTCAAAATTTTTAAAGTGTATGCAAACTTTTGTGAATCACTGTATATGTAATTTATTTTTAAGTTTAACCTCATTTTTAACGTAAGAAATTCCATTTTAACATTTAAACTCATTTTAAATTATGATTTCCACTTTAACATTAAAATTGACACATAATGTCATTTTTATGTCAATTTTTTTATGGAATTTTTATGTCATTGTAGTGCCATTTTTAATATAGGTAATCTTATTTTGTGATTTTTTAGTTAAAAATATTTTTTTAGGTTAATGATTATTTGGATTAATATTTCGTTTCGATTTAATTTTGTTTCGATTGAATTTTTGTTTTGATTGATATTTCGTTTCGATTGATTTTTGTAAAGTAATTACTCTTCCTTTGTTTTTACCCTCACAATTCACCCTTTCCGCCTCTTTTTCAATATTTAAACAAGTCGCAATTTCCTATTAAATTATTTATAGAACCGATACGGACCGGAGCGCCACACCGGGTTTTCCCACTATTTATAATTCAACGCCATCCCCAACATATTTTTCCAATCCCAAGTGGATACGCACCTTAAAAATTACGATTTTTTTTTATTTCATTTATATAATTTTAAATTTATTCCTAGAAAAGAATATGCATTTTGAGTCAACAAAAAAGAAATAAAAAATTCTTTTAGGGTGTAAGAAAATATTATAATTTAAAAAACGCACCCCTGTATATGAAATCTACGGACAAAGAGGCGCGTCGCCGTTTGGGGGTCGAAAGTCAGGCATGTGTGCATCACTTTAATTTACAGTACCATTCACACCCATCCCTGTCGCTTCTCGTTTTTCAGGTCCGCTGGTTTCCATTCGTCGAACAAAAAAGTCACATTCTTTTCTCTCTCCGCCTATGTATGTATGCATGTATGTGAGTGTGCGTGTGATTTTTTTTGGGGACCTTCAGGTATTTCGTATACGGTGAGGCCCGTTTTGTATACGTCAATTAACATGAGAAAAGTGTGACGATGATATTGTGCCATGGGTTTTCGATGTGAACCAAAAATGAATCACAATGAGGCAAAAAGTTATGTTATTTTTGGTTGGATTAAAAAAAGTTGGATAGAAATTGGATATTTTGGAAATCATAATATTTATTTAATTTTTTGGATCAAAGTTTGTGTTGCAAGTGCTTATCCGTAGAATAGAGCAAGCAGCACTAGGACACGTTGATTTATGGTACTATCAGGGGGTGCCGGCGTTTTGGTGGTGAAGAAGGAGTAAAAGGAAAAGGGGGGACGGTAAAAACAAAAGGTGTACTCGGCGGGCAGGTGGACGACTGCGGAGAGCGTCGCGACGCCGCCGCGGCCTGCCGTGATTGGCACTGACGGGTTGTCATCGCTAGCTCGAGCGCGTCTACGCAGCGTCGGTCGCGCAGGCGCGGCCCTCTACCGGGGATTGGTTGGTAGGCGTGGTGCGGCGCTGACAGATCATTCATCTGTGCCCCACTCTGCCCCCGCGGACTCCAGTGATTGACAGTTGGCAGAAGACTGCGGACCGCGCAGGACCTCTGCACGCGCACAATCAGAAAAGAATTGAACGGACCCGAGCCCCAGGTGCAAGAGGCACGTGGCGACGCGCGTGTGATGTGACAGACGCCCGAACACTCTGTATACACGCGACGCTTTTGACCTTTTTTCCGTTGTTTTTTTTTCAAAATCGCAATAATAAGCGGCGGCGCGACGCCCTCTGGTGGCTCTGCGTGCTGGTCAATCAGTTCGGGCCCGGGCCCGAAAATCGCGTGTGCTTTGGTGTGACAGTGTGTTTTCCTACGTTTCGTCGAGGCCCCTCGGAGCGGTTCAAAAGTGGCCCAAGCGGAATATCCCACTACGGGCAGAGCGTTCATGGCTCAGCCAAGGGTACATAATCCATCATCTTTATATAAACCAACAAATCAACCATAGAACGAGCACCTTACGACAACGTCGAAATCCAAAAAACAATCGAATAAACAAAACAGTGAATCGTGCTAAAAAATCGTTTTTTTCAGACTAGTGACAAAAAAATGTGATGAAAACCACAAAAAAAACATTTTTAAAAAACCAACCCAACAATAACAACTTAATTCTTTTAATTTAAAAAAAACAAAGGAAGTTTCGATATCACCGATAACTAAATTGGTTTACCGTCGGATAAAATAGGAATCTTATTGATGAAATCAAAATTCCAAAAAAAATTAAAGTAAAAAAAGAAACCGTTTGATGCGCCCTCTAAACGTAAAAACGAACAACCCGACGGGGTGCCCACACTCAAATTTTAGTGCGTCGTCAAATTTTATGGACCAGTTCTACTATTGGCTTAAACTTTCCGTTTAGAAAGAGGAGGAAATCCGAGTTTCACGATTATACTCTTTTTTAAAAAACCACACTACATAAATAATACAGGGTGTTTCAAAAAAAAGGTTGGCCCGTTTCTAGGATATCTAGAACATTGAAAAATAAGGTGGGTTTGCTTAGTAAAAAATTTTCGTAACGACATCGCAATGTTGCCAATTGTAAAAAATTGAATTATGAAAATTTTTTACTAAGCAAGCTCCACTTATTTTTCAGTGTTCTATTTATCCAAGTAATGGGGCGACTTTTTTTTTGAAACAGCTGTATAGTGAATTTCACCTAAAATGCAATATACAAAAATAATTTCCATAGAAACCTACTTACTTTGTCCCACATAAAATGCAACTTGTCAGAATGGTTTTTAGTTCTAGGTTTAATGTTAGTTCTAGTGATAGTGGTAGGTAGCGCTGGTTATCATAAGATTATGTTGCATATTTTTATTGAACTAAAACTAGAACTAACACAAGACCAAGAACTAGAATCATTCTGGTTTAGCCGTCTTGGGAGACGTGCGGCTAAATCCGAATGTTTCTAGTTCTAGGTCTAATGTTAGTTCTAGTGACACTGGTAGGTAGCGCTAGTTATACTAAATACCACTATGTTGCATATTTTTATTGAACTAAAACTAGAACTAACACTAGACTTAGAACTGGCTAAACTGGCTAAACCCGAATATTTCTAGTTCTAGGTCTAGTGTTAGTTCTAGTTTTACACTATCACTAGAACTAACGCAAGACTTAGAACTAGAATCATTCGGATTTAGCCGTCTTGAGAGACGTGCGGCTAAATCCGAATGCTTCTAGTTCTAAGTCTAGTGTTAGTTGTAGTTTTAATTGTTATTCTGCGTTAGATAGTGATATATTTTTATTGAACGAAAGGTAGAACTAACACTTATCCTAGAACCAGAAAAATTCGGTTTTAGTCATGCGTCTCTTAATACGGCAGAAAATTCAGGGTTATCTTTTTCCAAGCAAATTTTTTCCTTTGCAAAACTACCCAATACCTATAGTATTAAACTATGTTGCATTTTATGTTGGATAGTGCAAATGCATATTTGAAACTCTTTTTTTTTTTTCTTTAAAGCACTCAAAAAAACTTTTTCTATTAACATGAAAATGGACATTATGTGGAAATCTAAAAATAAATAGGTCGAGATCAAATCGATAATTATTGTTACGTTCATTTAATAAGCGATAAGAAACCGCCGAAGATGATGATGGAATACCAATCTGGTGGTTTACAAGTGTTACAAAAATGATTTTAGAAAATGATTGATTACATCTTATTATTATTATTTGTTAATAAGTACCCAAAAATAAATTTAACTCACTCGAGTTAATTTTAGATAACTTAATGACAAATTTTTTCTTGCCAACTCAAATGTTTATGAAAAAATTAAAAATCTCAACCCGAAATAATCTCGAAACAATACACAAACATTATCAGGTATCAAAAATAGGTTGAAAGAATAAATAAATATGTAAGCAAAAAAATAAATATGTCAGCGTTTGAAAGGCATGAATTACCTCAGCAATGAGTGTTTTATTGGTAGTAGCTGTAGACTACTTAATACTTTCGAATATAAATTTTGGGCGGAAAGCAAAAACATCTTCTCACTCCTCAAATACACAACAACAAAACAAAATCAAAACAATTGCAACAAAATTTAAAATTTTTGTTTAAACCATAATAAAACAATAAAATCATTTCAATATTAAAACGAAACGAAGTGAATCGCGCCAAAACCAAAAAATTAAAAAAAAAATCGGATTTTTATTAATACCCATTACAAGTAAGTAATTTTAGTACTCTAGTAAAATAAAGATTTCTTTTAATTAAACGAAATAACGGATGAAATTAAAATTAAAACACCATAAAACCAAAAAAAAAAATAATATTTTATAATTGTTGAGACGTTTGATACGGAAAATCGATTAAAACGCGATAGGATTTAAATGCCCCGCGACTTTACGAGGCTATTATCTCAACCGGTAGAGGGCGATCGTAAAATTTTTTAACTAAACGTTATTTAAAATCGCTTTTTGATAACTAATCATTTTTTAACTCTTGGGCTAAAACAGGATGAAGATTTAATTTTAGTACAAGAAGAGCGTCGGGACGTAGAGAAAGCGACGTTAAAGATGCGCCACGTTCGGTTTTACGCGATCATAACGCGCTCGTAAATACCGTCGTATAAAAGTTGTTGTGGTCCTCTTTTTTCAACGTTCCACACAGGAAGATGTACTCTCTTTTGCGGTTCGGAACCATTAAGACTCGTAAAATGGGATTCAAAAAAATTCTAGTACACTCATAAAACGATTTAAATATACGCACTTAAAATGCGAAAAATTATAATTTTTTAAGTTATTTGAAACTTTGTAATTCAATATTCAGTTACTTATCGGACGAACGGTATATAAAAGCATGTTAGAGGTTTAAATAAGTGGTTAAACGAAGTGGAATTAACTTAATTATTTTTGTGGTTTGACGTAAAAGTGTAATTTTTATTACATTCTAAATAAACAGTGGAAGATTTTTTTCTGTTATAAAAAATTCAACATTCTCAGTTTGAATTAAACCAAATTAGATGATAAATTTAAAATAACATTAATTTTAACGTGAGATAATATAAGGTAAAAATTTTTTTATTTATCTTCCTCAAAATTGGTATACATCATTTTTAAAAAAAAGATTTAAGCTTTCATTTAAGTTCATTTCTTAATTATCATAATTAAATCTTGAACGATTTTAATTTATTTTTTAAATCAAATTTTAGCTACTTAAGTATTTATTCGCATATATCATCTTAAAAAGGAGATATTAAACTTTCATTTAATCTTGCACTCAATCCTAAGTTATCATAAACAAGGCTTCAGCGAATTTACGAATTTCCACAATATTTGCTAATACGTAAATTAACCCAAATTTTGGTTCATTCGATTTTGGTTCGTTTGATCTAATCTTTTTCAAATAAATATCGGTTGGTGTACATCGTCTTAAAAGAGAGATTTCAAGCTTTCATTTAAGCTCACACTCATTCCTTAGTTATCATAAATAAAGCTTCAGTGATTTTTTGAATTTCTGCAATATTTGTTAATACTTTCGATTTTTTCTCTTTTGATCTAATATTTTTTTAATAATTATATGTTATTGTAAATCATTTCAAAAATCTTTGTCATAAATAAAGCTTCTTTTTTGATTTTCGGTTCAGCTTCAAATGATGTTTTTGAAATAAACAATAAATATTCATTTTTCAAATCAAAAGCGATTGCTGTATATTATTTTAAAATGGAGACTTTAAGCTTTAATTTAATCACTAAATCATTTCTTAGATTTGATAAATATGTATAACCACGGTATTTCTTTGAAATTCGATAAATTTTTGTTAAAATCAAACCAACCTAAGTTTCAAAGTTTTTTATTCCGATTATTTTCAGGTACTCGTTTTCAAATCAAAATCGATTGATATATATCATTTTAAACTAGAGGCTTTAATCTTTAATTTAAACAAAAAATCATTTCTTAGTTACCATAAATAAAGACGTAACGAATTTTTAAATTTCGTCAATATTTTGATAAACATCAAATTTTAGAGATTCACTTAATAACAATTTTGAGCTTTTTCTTAAAAATTAAAAGCGATCGTTATACATTATTTTAAAATGCAGGCTTTAAGCTATAATTTAAACCAAAAATAATTTCTTAATTTTCATAAATAAAGCTACAGCGATTTTTTTAATTTCGCCTATATTTTGTTAGTAAATCGAATTAACCCAAATTTCAAAGTTTTTTATTCCGATTATTTTGGGGCACATTTTTTCAAACTAAAAGCGATTGCCGTATATCATTTTAAAATGGAGATTTAAAACTTTCATTTAAATAAAAACTCATCTCTCAATTACTATAAATACAGCCATAATGATTTTTTAAATATCAACGATTTTTTTGTTAGTAATCAAATTAACCCAAATTGTGAAGTTCTTTATTTTAAACAATTTGAACTACAATTTTTTGATTTCCATATATCATTTTAAAATAGAGATCTCAAACTTTAATTTAAACAAAAATTATTTCTTAGTTACCATAAATATAGGCATTACGATTTTTTAAATTTCGCTAATATTTTGGTAAATACCAAATTTTAGTGATTCTCTTAATGAACATTTTGAGCTTTTTCTTAAAAATCTAAAGCAACCGCCATACATTATTGTAAAGTAGAAACTTTAAGCTTTAATTTAAACAAAAAATCATTTCTTAGTTTTCATAAATAGAGCTACAGCAACTTTTTGTATTTCAACCATTTTTTATTCATCATAAAATTAACCCAAATTTTATATCGAATATTTTCCGGTACTCGTTTTTAAATCAAAATCGATTGCCATATATCATTTTAACTTAGAGATATTAACCTTTAATTTGAATATAATTTTCTTATAAATCTTTAAATTTGTGTTATTGTTGGGTTTTCGGTTATTATTAAATTTCGACGTTTTTGAAAGGTGCTCGGTGGTAAAAGGCACCGCTCCTTTCCACCAGTATTCGTGAGTGTTTCTTATTAAAAATAAAATGAAAAATCATCTTTAACTCATTTAAAATGAAATATCTCGATATCTGGTGTAAAAAAGCAGCCTAGGAACTAAAACAAATTTAAAAAAATCTCAAGAATTTTTTTTTAACCATGGTACAACAGTACGACGATGGCATCCACCCTGGGTACATGGACGGAGCTACGGGGGGTTTATACGAACCCCCGCATCACAGGCCCATTCCGGGAATCCATCATTCGCCAATCATCAACCATCCAATGCACGGTTATCATAGCAATCACGTCAACCCTGGAGCGAATCATGTTATGGGCGGATCTGTACCCGACGTAGGAAAAAGAGATAAAGATGCCATTTATGGGTGAGTACAAAAAAAAAATTTGTTTTGTATCATTTCTTAACTCAAACGACGTTATACTCCTACTTGGAATATTATACAACCCGTGATGAGTGGTGACGCAATATATTATAATTCTTATTTTCGTACAAAAAAAAAGGTAAATACGAGACCGCAATTAACATATAACATTTTGGTAATAACAATTCTAAGAAAACTTTCAATTACAACCAAATTTAAATGAAAAACTAATAAAAAATGTATATTTTACTTTGTTATTTTGATTTCTTATCAATTTTTTCTTTCCCTTTTTTTTCTGGTTGTTAGTAAGAGATAATCGCACCAAATCGTCGCATATATACAATATTATTCGATTTTTATTCGAGCCTAAACAAACAAAAGGATACCTATAATCTTATCATTTTCAGTTAATAGTACGAAAATCTTTACTTTTTTATATCTCTGAATTATTTAGGAGCAAAAAAAAAACATTTTTTTCCTTTTCTGTTAACTTTTTCATTTAGATCCTTTTAATCCTTCTACCACCCCATTAAAAAATATCCTTTCTAACGTTTAAAACAAACAAAACTTGTATGCTTTACGTAAATATATGTTAACCGGTGACCGACGGAAAGCGTCAAGTTAAAGAGTAGTAGGCGACGGTACCCGTTTTTCAAATGTTTTTTTAATTTTTAACAACTTATAGCTACTACATTTTTTTAAATTTAAAGAATAAAGAGTATTAAACGTTTTTAAACGATTTTTTTTGAATGATTATAATTTAATAATATGTTGTTTTTTTTAAAGGATTAGTGTTTTTTTCAACGTTTTAATCGATTCATATTTAGTAGAATTACTACAATTTGTCATGGACGTAAATTAATTAATTTTTAATAATAAGCCTGATAGATGACGCTTTCGTTATTTTTCAATCGAAACATGGTCTCCTCCCCCTGTCATACGATTTTCGTTTTTGGTGTTGTTGTTCGTAAAATTTGAGCAATAAATAAACGGAACGTCAATTATATCGTCGCGTCCGATTGTTCAAAACCGGCACCACACCAGCACGATAATACACAAAAAGCACAATTGTTCTTCTCTCCCTTCTCTGAATATTAAAATTTTACCCTTTCTCTTTTCAACCCTTTATTGTTTTATTAGTATTCATTATTATTTGTGTTAATCCGGTTTTGTTTTGCATAAATATTGTATAAAAAAATTTTGAAATAAAGTAGGTTATATATTTTTTTAAATCATTTATTGATTTTGAATGGATGAAAATAATTGCTTGAAAAAGTGACTTATTTAAAAATTTAGGGATTTTAGCAAGTTAATCAAAGCTTTATTCAATAGTACTTCACTAAAAATTACTAACAATCTTTCGTGGGCAATTCAAGTTATACAATTTCTTATGTTTTCATCCAAAACGTTCTATCATTTATAAACTTAGTATTGAGGAGCAAATTGTAGCATCAACATCGTCATTTTATTAACAATTAACTGTTTTGGTCACTTGATTTATCAAAATCTTTATTGTGGAGAAATGTTTGAAATGTCCACAATAGTCAGAAGTGTTCAAAACAATCAGATGGGTTCACTTCTACAATCAAAAAGTTTTCTGAAATTTTAAGGTGTTCCATCGAAGTTACTATTGCTCTAGATATCGTTTTGTATAGATTTTAATTCATCCAGATATGGTTTTGACAATTTAGGAGATGAAGTTTCTCCACTTTTCCACTCAACTTATCTCATACATTTTCAACGTTTTATAACACGCAAATATTTTGAAATTTTAGAATCTTTGGAGTGACACAAAAAATGTATCAACACTTAACTTAAATAAAGCTGTAGTAATAATAAGCAAGCATGTTATCTGCCATGGTGATATTGTTGTTATGTATTAAATAACATTCTACTTCTTCTTTCATGTCACCTTGCTTCACATTTTTCGTTTACAATACCAATGTGGTTCTCCTAGAGCTGGAAGGAACTAGTTTTTAGCATAAATACACTACAATTTATGTTGGCTAATAGCTAATAATTCGAATGTTGAAACTTATTCTTCAAATCTTGACATTAATAGAAAGACATTTAATAGAATTCATAAATTTTATGTCTCAAAAAATAGAGATGGAAACATTGGGTTGGCTCAAACATGTCATCACTATTGCAGGAACTATTTTATTACATCACTAATCTTTCTAGTTTCAATCTGACCTTATTCTATAATTCAATAAATTCTTTGATTGTGTCAAAATCCTTGCATTTATTTACACAATTTTTTACAAAGTTTGCACATTGTAGAGAGTATTGTATTGATTTCTCTATATAAGAATTAGACCTATGTTTTGTTGATTCCTCATTTCAACATCGACATATTGGTTATCGATAAAGTTGTCATTTTTGTGCTTATAGATTTATTAAATTGTTACCCCAGTTGAATGTCCGATGGGAATAACGAGTAAGACAACGAAGCTGATTGATCACTACCTTGTATTCCAATTGAACGTGCTGGTTTTATTTCCCAATAATTTTATTATCGTTGGTTTTGACTATAGAAGCTAATGTAAAAATTAAGTATAAAGAAGAGAAGAGCAATATAGTGTTCAATTGTATTATGTTGATATGTTTTGTTACGCAAAAGGTGTACATTGTTACGTTTCTAAAAAGTTTGATGAATGCTGTTTGTGACTTTTCTGTAACTGCAAAAAACCAAATATCATCATCGTGGAAGATATCGCTGCTTAAAGGTCATATTAACTTAAACCCATTGATTATAATGCTGGGTCTAAAAGTTAGCATTACTGTTCAAATTTGTTTTAAGTAACTTGTGAACAATTTCAAGGGAGACTGAGTCTTGGAAAAATGTAGAGTGGTATAAATTTCCTATTGCATTAATAATAACCATGCAGTCACAAACTCACCTCATTAACCCAATGTTACTTGTCAATTCATTCAAGATTTTTTGTATTAAGCAATTTCATCAAGATTCGTGATTTTGATTCCAATTAACAGGATGTTTTAAGCGATTTTTCTTTGCAAAGGACTTTGCAAAAACGATAATCAAACACCAAGCTTATTTAATAGATATTTCCTTATTAATTATGTATAGCACAGTTTTCTTTTCTTTTTCACAACAACTTCGAATAATTGCAGGCAAGGTTGCATCGTTGCACTAAAGATGTTTTTTTGTTGTAGGTGTATGTTACCTTGTACATACGCGACATACCTTGGCTGTCGAAAGTATTTATTGATATAGTTCACAATTGATAGAGAATCCCAATTTTACTAAAACACCAAAATAACTAGTAAACAATGTACTCGATTACGAAGATCTCAAAATGTCCATCTCAATCGAAAGTTTGGGTCTGAATACTGATGTCGAAATGCCTGACTCAAAAAACTTTGGTTTAAAACAACTTAATCAAACACATCGAATTCTCAAGAATTAATTGTCCATTTTTAGTAATTAACATTTCGATCGAAAATATGATTCACAATGAATCATCATGATCCTTTAGCCCGTATCGTCCATTGCTGAACATAAGCGTCCATACTCGTATTTTTTGTCCATCTTACGTGCTTTGTTGAAAAAGATCTAAATAGTTAAGAATTCTTCTGTGCACTTCAAACAGAATCCAATCTCTTCACCTATGAAGAAATTTGAAAGCCCTGAATGAAATAAAAGCGGGAAAAGCACCTTCCTGGCTTTTATGCCATTCATGTTGAGTTTCTGAAGCATAGTGGCAGATTTACTAAGACTTGCAAAGTTCTTCTCGGACATCCTTCGTGCTAGATATGTCCCATCAACTTAAGGTGGCAAAAGTTGTCGTCATTCCAGAACCAGGGAAAGTGCCCAATTCTAAGAATGGTCTACAAACTTTTTGAAAGACTGCTATATGACAGAATTGCCCTAACCATACTACAATCAGCGGGATTCACCAACTATGTGGATACAGACTTTCAAAAGCAAGTAAAAACATCTACTTTTCACTGACTTATTAGCTGCTTGCAGTATCCTGTGGCGACAAGGGCTAATATATAAATTATTGCGAGTTATCCTATGTAGAAAGATTATCATTGCTATCTAACAGATGCTTCCAAATCATCATGGGTGACAAAACTAGTACCCAAATGAAACTGAACAGTGGAATTCCACAAGGGTGATCGGTACTGTCCTCTCATCCAAACAAAAAGTAGAATCATCAAAACTAACTGCTATAGAATTATGTTCAGCGATCTCTGAAACATTAAATCTCTTCCAGCAATAATCCAAAAATAGTACTTCTTCTTGATAACTTCTTTAAAGTTAATTTGACAGACTCGTTGATGATTTAATAATTGTTGTTGATGTTGAAGTTGTATTATTAGCCATTAACGTATTATATGGCAATCTCGATGAAAATCAAAGTTGCCAAATCTTCCTTCTAAGTAAGTCATCATTATGTTGTAAGGTCAAATAATAAATAAACAACTTTTATTATAAGAAAATTTTAGAATCAAAAAAAAACTAAATTATATTATCCTTGGGTTTGATTACTTTATAATTTTCTGAAACAATCATTTTATTATGATGATGGATAAGATGGTTATAATACGGGATAGGGGTTGTTTTTAAATTCTTTATCAACTATTACCAATTTCTTAGTAATTTATTACTAACGTCTCCGCTAAAAGGATTTTTTTTTCAATTATTGTCTTAAATTAAGTAATTGTAGAAAAGAAATATTGAAATTCTTTGTATGCTAATTAGAAGCGTTCCTTAATAAATCCCGCTGTAATTGGTGCTTTCACAGTGATTTTACAATTACGCTTCGAGGAAGTGAATGGATGAATGACTTAAATTGATGGAACAGCTCATTTTAAGTGATATTTATAGTAATTATTATTATAATAATGTTTAAAGTATAACATTGTTAAATCAAAAAAAATTGGTTTACGATCGTTATTATTACCATGTGGTAGGTAAATTCCTTGGCGTTTATTTATGTATTAACGCTTCACTTCTGGGCGCATTAACTAGAGAACGATAATATCTGAAATAGATACTTGTTACGACGTTTACTGCGTCATGCTGGTAGGTCTCTAACGTATGTCTTGGTTTGTCCGCCTGGATGAGTTAAACGTCGTTAAATGAAACTTCACAGTTTATGGGTTTACATAAAAGAATCTTCCTTAGTTTGCGGTCAACTTAAATACTATAAAACCACAAAAAAATTTAATAGTTAATTTTTTTAATTTTGAATAAGAATTTTTAAAATTTCGATAATCTTTTTATATTTTTAATTTTTTTTACTCTCCTGAAGTTAAACTCTTGGCTCACATTCATAAAACGTTGCCCGATTTATTTATGGCGTGCCATCCGCAGGGTAATTTACGGGTCATAGGAGGACACCGAAGAACTTCTCTCTTCTTCTTCGAGTCCGTCCGAGAACTCTTCTGTCGTCATCGAACGAAAGAGGAAAGATACAAAACACAACTCTTGCAGCTCTGCTATCTTAAGTGTGTATTGGCCGAGTCCATACTTGGAGCGCCTCTCTCGCTTTTCTTCTGGTTTCTTTTTGCCTGTTCGCTTCGCTTCTTCGTTGGCTCTGCGATTCCTCTCCGCGGGGCGCCTTGAAATAAAATTCCGCAGCGCCGCCGATAAAAAAAAATCCTCCCTATTATTTATCGCCGACGTTCGTTCGTTCTCTTTCTCTTCTCTTCGGGGCCCGACCCACCATTAAGAAAATTGTCCGTAATCGATACGCGTTGAGTTAAAATAGAAGGAAAGAAATGAGGAGGAGGGTGTAAGGAAGGGTTCGGTGCGAGCTTTGACCTTTTGGCACCACCTCACGTTCGATACTTTCAATGTTCGTTTACTTTTCCTTTAAGCTTTTCTGTAGGCTCGAATATTCTTTTTTTTTTGTATTTTTCGTCCATATGGTAAGTGGATGAGGAAAAGAGAAATTTTCTGCAAAACATTCAATTCCTGTAGTAGACCACTTACGAGATTTGTGCTTACATATTCGTGATGTGAATTATTCATGAGGTATTCATGTTTTATCATTGCATTCTGGTCTCCCCAATAAGAAATTTAAAATAAAAAATGTAAAGTAAAAGGAATAACTTTATTTTTTAACAAGCCAATTTAATTTTTTGATAAACGTATTGATTTTGGGGTAATTTGTGTGATAATTTATTTTTTCTTGTTTCAGACACCCTTTATTTCCATTATTAGCGTTAATTTTTGAAAAATGTGAGTTGGCAACATGTACACCAAGGGAGCCTGGAGTGGCGGGAGGAGATGTGTGTTCGTCAGAGTCATTCAACGAGGACATTGCAGTGTTTTCGAAACAGGTCAGACAAAATCTCACATACACTAAAAAAATACTTGCTCACCCATCACAGTAAAAATACCAGTTTTATCACTTTCCCGAAAACCGTATCGTAAAAAATAAAAAGAGAGGAGAGGCGTTTTACGCGCAATCTGTTGATTCCGGTCGCGTTTATTAAAATCACAATAACTATTTTATAGCCACCACCACGCACTATAGCCGTTATTTTTTTTTCGGGACGACTGTGACGCAATAAAGCCTCTAATTCGGATGAAATCATGAATTTATCTCCCTTTTAGCTTGTCAGGCGCTCGTAAAAAAACCGGGGACGCGAGGCAGTAGTAGTAAAAACGTAACACGGCGTAAAAACTGTTTTATTTTTTTTACGAGCACTATATTTTTTTCCACGTAGAATTAACGTACATTTTCGTTAGTTAATCATATTAAAACGATATCAAAAAAATAGTAATAATAATAAACACGATAAGCACTAAAAACACAAAAAGAGAAAGTATAGAATTTAAAGATGATACATTGTTTTGGGAAAAATCACCAATTGGTATACATCATTTTAAAATAGCATTTTAATATACGCTATAAATCATTTCTTAGTTTTCATAAATAAAGCTCTAACGACTTTTTTAGTTTCAACACTTTTTTGTTAATAGCAATTTGACTTTTTTTTCCAACAAAATTTATCATCCCTCTTTTTCTATTTATGAATTTCACTTAAGATCTAATATACAAAAATATATTTCCATAGAAACCAGGGTGTACCTACTTACTTTGTCTCACATAAAATGTAATAACATGTCAATATAATTTGACATTACATACAGTAAAACCTCGATATATCGGATCAATACGGGGAACGCAGTGTCCATTATAGCTCAATAGAATATACAACAAACTAGCGCTGAATAACATATAAAACTAGATTAACACTAGCACTAGAACTAGACCTAGAACTAGAAACATTCCGTTTAGCCGCACCTCTCTTAAGATGGCTGGTAGGTGGCAGGTAGCGCTAGTTCGCATAAAATATCACTATGTTGCATATTTTTATTGAACTAAAATTAGAACTGACACTAGACCTAGAACTAGAAAGTATCGGGTTTAGCCGTGCATCCTCAGACTGTCAGAATGTCTAATTTTACACTAGCACTATCACTAGAACTAACACAAGACCTAGCACTAGAATCATTTGGGTTTAGCCGTCTTCAAAGACGTACGGCTAAACCCTAATGTTTCTAGTTCTAAGTCTAGTGTTAGTTCTAGTTTTGCACTATCACTAGAATTACTACAAGACCTAGAACTAGAATCATTTGGGTTTAGCCGTCTTTAAAGACGTACGACTAAACCCTAATGTTTCTAGTTCTAAGTCTAGTGTTAGTTCTAGTTTTGCACTATCACTAGAATTACCACAAGACCTAGAACTAGAATCATTTGGGATTAGCCGTCTTGAAAGACGTGCGGCTAAATCCGAATGTTTCTATATAAATCTTTTCTTGTTTAACATTAAAAATAAAAATTGTTTTTAATTAACATTATCCTCTTAAAAACGTTTAACGTTTAAAATAAACTATAAATCATTACTTAATCTTCATAAGTAAAGCCGAAATGATTTTTTTTTCACAATTAAATTAAATCCTCTGAAAGTTTTACATAAACAAGATTTTTGGCACTCGTTATAACGAATTAAAACGTATAAAAAGTCCAGTCACTTTCTTAACTTTACACTTTATTACTTTGAAACGCCCTTTATGAAGAACTATTCTTAATTTAAACGGAATTAACATAAATAAACCGAGTTTATTTACAAGTTTTACACCTGATTGATTTCTTATCGATTTTTTATTCGTTTTAAAGGAAATTGTGGAGTCGAGGAATCATTAATCGATTTCTATACGAAAGAGAGCAATAAACCCGAAAACAAAAGGAAAAAATTAATTTTAACGGCGACCATCGAAGTTAAGTACTCTTTCACGTGACTGTTTCAATTCCACTTCAATAATCGAAGTGAATCAATTGCTTCTCCAAACACTACATTATACAGGAGGTATTTTTTACCGAAATATAACGTTTACGTTTAAAAAGTAGCGTCCCTTCTTTTTGGTCTATTGTTAAGTTGCTTATATGTGTGATTTATTTACGTGGGGTACATGTAATTACAAAGTCAAAATCTGGGGTGTTGTATCTTTAGATCCAGGATTATGAGGGGGTGAGAATGAGAATTTGCAAATCAAATAGGGGGTTGGATATAAAATCAAAGTTTCGATTTATTTAAGTTTCTGAAAAGTATGCAAATATCTCAACGATAATTGGCATTAGTTTTCAAGCCCATAAATTGTGTAATCAGTGAGAAATCCTCCTCAATTGGGCGCAATTAACTTCAACGCGAAATAATTTACGCTACCAAGCATTAACGGTTCACTTAAATTTCGCAGATGTTTTCGCAGTTGATAGTTAAAAGAAAAATATATTCCTAGAATGTTAACGTTTCCCTCAATTCTAAGCTCGTTATCGTTTGAAAGTCTCCAGTACATTGTATTTAATCAATTTTCCGTTTTGTTGTGTGAATTTTTAAAAACTTACCTGGAAGTTTTAACATTCCCATTCATTTTTAACTTATTAAACTAAAGAAATTGTTTAAAGTTAACTATTTAAAACGGTATTTATTTATGAACAAACGTTTTATTTTTGCTTTATTATCTTTTTCCGATTGAAAATAAGAATTTAAAACAACATAATTAACCCGTGATTTATTATTTCTTTTATCATTTTTAATAAAGGGTCCATTTAAAAATCAAAAATTAAGATTTTAACATTTACCAATTTCAACCAAATCCTATCATGGTGATTTACAACTTCACTCTGAGATGGGATAAACTTTAGATACAGTGACATTTGTTTAATCACAAAATAGTACAATGTACAATGAGTTCTGCCTTGCCTTTTTTCATTTCTGAAATTGCATAATGATGTCTTTTCCAAATTCTGTTCCTTGACTGTTTCCTTGAGCCAAATGTGACATACTCTTGATCTTTAAATCCCTCTTCCGTTTTGTATTCCTTCTTTTTGTTATTTTTTCTACATCTTTATCATTTTCGTCCAATCCCTATGATTGCATCTTGCAAATCTTTTATACTTTCCAATCTACTAATCATTTCCAAAGGTAATTGAATGTCATTAGAGCCACGGTTGATTCAGTTCCAGACTTGAACTGAACGAATCTGAACCCATTAAACCAGTTCGTTCTGCATCCTGGATGTTAACATCTTCTTCACATGTTTGTTTGTATGCAATAAAACGTTAGAATTGACTGTGACGTTGATTTTTATTTACTGACTTGAATTACAGGCCATTAAGATGATAACCCTAACTCTATAATTTTTTGCTACTAAAATTGAAAAAATTTTTGAGTTATTTTCGATTCTTTAATTTAACCTTTTCAAATAAACATGGATTACTATACATAGTAATCCATGTGAAAGTGGAGGTTCCAGGCTTTAGTTGAAGCTATAGATCAATTCTTAATCTTCATAAACATGGTTACAATGATTTTTTAAATTTCGCCAATTTTTTTTGCTTCTACTTGAATTGAATCAAATTTTAGGGTTCGTTTCTTCCGATTCTGTGACTTAACCTTCTTGAATAAACATCAACTGCTATATATGGTTTTAAAATAGAGATTTCAAGCTTTAATTTGGGTTATAAATCAATTCTTAATCTTCATAAACATGGTCACAATGATTTTTTGAATTTCGCAATTTTTTTTGCTTCTACTTAAATTAAATCAAATTTTAAGGTTCGTTTCTTCCGGTTCTATGACTTAAGCTTTTCGATTAAATATCAATTGCTATATATGGTTTTAAAATAGAGATTTCAAGCTTTAATTTAAGCTATAAATCAATTGTTAATCTTCATAAATATGGTCATAATGATTTTTTGAATTTAGCCATTTTTTTTGCTTCTACTGAAATTGAATCAAATTTTAGGGCTCGTTTCATCCGCTTCTATGACTTAACCTTCTCGAATAAACATCAACTGCTATATATGGTTTTGAAATAGAGATTTCAAGCTTTAATTTGGGTTATAAATCAATTCTTAATCTTCATAAATATGGTCACAATGATTTTTTGAATTTCGCCAATTTTTTTGCTTCTACTTAAATTGATTCAAATTTTAGGGTTCGTTTCTTCCAATTCTGTGACTTAACCTTTTCGAATAAACATCAATTGCTATATATGGTTTTAAAATAGAGATTTCAAGCTTCAATTTAAGCTATAAGTCGATTCTTAATCTTCCAAAACAAGGTCATAATGATTTTTTGAATTTGTAAAATTTTTCATATCATTTTAATTGAACCTAATTTTTCAGTTTTTTTATTTCGAATCTTTAACTTAACCTCTTTACATAAATATGGATTAGTGTATATAGTTTTAAAATAGAGATTTCAATCTTTAATTTAAGCTATGAATTAATTCTTAATCTTTACAAACACGGTCACAATGATTTTTTTAATTTTTCAATTTTTTTTTGTTTTAGCGCTTCCTTGTCTTAATTACTATAAATCATCATTTTTTAGTCTCCATAAATATCAATATAATTATATATACAATATAAAACAATATAATTAAGTCATGATTAAGTATTGTTGTATTTAGCCAAGAATTTCAACATAATATTAATTTGTCGTTTCGTGTTGTTACTCCTCCCAAAAATATTTTTTTTTGGTAGCTTAACACAAAGAAATATTATGTTTACATAACACCGTGTACCAAGGGGACACCAACATATGTTTCTATCAAAAATTATTACTGTTTATTATTTATATAGACATTTATGTGTACCGTGCCGTGTAATAATGTTGATAAGCTCGGACCCGTTCTACTAGTAGGTAGCCCGTTTTCTGATAAATTCTGATAACGTTTTTAATGCATTTCATTCTTTCCTCTTTTTTTGTCGTATCTCTTTCACTCGAAAAACTGACACAAGACTTTTTCATTCTTATTTGAACTG